GGCGAGGGTCCCACATGGCTCAGCAGACCTCTCTCCTGTCTCGCCTGCTGCTCCTCTCAGCAGTGTATTTCATCAGTCTGCCTGTTCTGTTCCCTGCTCTGTCTCTGATGAATCCTCTCACCCTCCCATGTATCTGGCCTGTACCCCAGTTCTTGTATAAATAAATAAATCTTTTTAAAAAATGTTTATATATGAAAAATAAATAAAATAAAAGGGAGAGAACAAAACGGGCACATTTATACACACAAGTGGGCAGCAAGGCAGCCCTAAAGAGGTGGGTTTGCTAACAGAGAGGCCTGCATGGTCACAAGCAAGTGCCCTTGAGGAGAGCTGCCTCTGCTGAGGGAGGTCAGTGAAAAGGAGTCCCAGCCTGGTACAGGTCACGGGCATGCAGGAAGACTGCTGCCTGTGGAGAGAGAGAGTAGGTGAGAAGAAGCAGCTGCATAGGCACAGGTGGATGCTGCCCTGTACCAGTGCAGAGACTGCACTGATATAGTCTTCTCTTTGGGGGGGCTCACTCCTTTGTGGACTGGTTTGTTTGCTGTTGATTTTTAATAACTTTGTAGTATTTGAAAGTACCAAAGAGTCTACAATGACCTCAACTCCACATCTTCACCTTCAGGTTGTGTGCTCCTGACATGCCCTACAGCAGTCTGATACCTGCTTAGGGTTTGTGCTTTGTGATCTAGGCCAGGGTGCCTAAGGATCTCAGTTCCTATAGCTGGGTTAATGGATATATTAATACCTTCATCCCCACCTGTAGCTCATGTGAGAACAAGGTTACTGATCTTGGGGTGCCTCCTTTCTAGTTTTTCTATCCTTATCCTCCCAGTCTCACCCTCCTGACCTGCACGGTGCTGATTCTGCCTGGAGAGGCGGGGACCCAAGGGATCTCAGATATGTGACCCAGGTGTGATCTGCTCATGGCCGTTTCTCCATCTGCGCAGGGCTAGAGGAGACTGTGATGTCGACAGGGAGAGGTTTTTGTCTCACTTCCCCATGGCCCTGTGTCATTGTGGCCCTAAACCACTGTCCCACACCTGACAGTAATAGTCAGCCTCGTCCTCGGCCTGGGTCCCGCTGATGGTCAGGGTGGCCATGTTCCCTGAGTTGGAGCCAGAGAACCGGTCAGGGATCCCTGAGGGCCGCTTGCTATCCTCATAAATGACCAGCTCAGGGGCCTGGCCTGGCTTCTGCTGGTACCAGTAAGCACTTTTGCTTCCAATGTTGTCTCCCTGACACGTCATCCTGGCCGTCTCTCCCAGAGACACCGACACTGAGGGTGGCTGAGTCAGCTTGTAGGAGACCACAGAGCCTGCAAGGGAGAAAAGTAGATGGGGGTTTAATATTTAGGACCCATTCCCAGAGCACCTCCTCTTGCCTGGCCTGGTCGAGACCCGATGGCTAATGTGTCCCCATGGATGCCCCTTCCCTCATTGTCATCTGCTGCTTCCCATAAGCCTGCTTAGATATGCCATTTTGGACAATGAATGAACTCCCTCTTTTCTTGGCAGGCACAACCCCTCAGGCTCACAGCAATAAGTGAGTACAGTGGGAGTCTACCCAAACCAGCTCCCCATCCTCAGCAGATCATGAGCTCCCTGCCCCAACAGGTAGCCCCTGCTGAGCTCAGAGTCAGAACCAGTCTTGTCCCAGAGCCCTGAAGCTGGGATGCAGTGAATCTAGCTCAGCACCTGTTAAGTGAGCCAGGAGGCCCAGGAGGAGAGGAGTCCAGGCCATGGTGGAGTCCCTGATCCTGTTCCCTAGCCTGAGACTAGGCAGGATACCCCCCCAGGCCTGTTTTATCCCATTGCTAGAGAGATCAGCTGCTTATGCAAATCAGCCAAGGCCCAGGCTGCTGTTTGGGGAGTTTTGTGGTTTCAACCCCCAGACCAGGGAGTGGAGGGGTATTTTCTAGAGAAACCACCCTCACCTCAGGGATCCTCCTTCTCTGCTGGTCTCACGGTCTGTTTGAATCTCCCCCAAAACTCTGTCCTGGCCTCTCCCTGGACAGGCCCTTCTACAGCAGATTCCGTGGAAGCCTGTGTGTTCTGATCTTGTTCAACAGGTGACATTCTCAGTCTTAGATAGGTCCCGATCCTCCCCCTGTCCTCACAGCTTCTGAGAAGCAGATCCTGCATAAAATCCCTCACTTGCCCACCTAGAAATTTTGAGGCCTGTCATTTCTTCTTTTTTGAGCTACTGGGACAGGTACAGGGACTGTGCCTCAGTATCTTCCGTGTGTACTCATGTCACATAAAGATCACAGTTTCCAGAAATGCTGCATGAGAGTGAGGCCTGGAAAGGGCTCTTAAGAGCAGAACCTCTGTGAGTTCACGCTAATTGTGTTCTGTTGATGAGGTGAGGTATTAAGTAACAAGCTGTCCTCTTTTGTAATCAAGTCAAAATAAGTTTATCAGACACCTGCTGTGTCCAGGCACTCACCCAGGGCCTGGACAGTGAGGCCACTTTAGCAAGATTGGGCTGTGTGTAAAGGAACAGAATTATCAGAATTTAGAGCCAGAAAAGCAAGACAATTTCTACAACCCTCAGCTCAGGGGCCATGGAGTCTGTAATGAGAACATGATTACCAAGAGAGACACTGTAGAAAAATGACCCCTGTTCACTCAGGTGTTAGCTCCTGGTGACTACTCTCCCCATGTCACAAGCTGCAGGGAGGCTTTAATCTGCTGAGGGTGACTCTCTGCTGCCCCCTGCTGGCTCCCTGCACTGGGTGCAGCAGGCACTGAGATTTCCTTTGTTTGGGTTTGAATTCAGAAGCTTCTATTCTGGATGTGATTCCCTGAGCTATGAAGTGCTGGCCCACAGGTGAATTACCCTTTCTATTTGGCCCCTGTTTTCTTCAAGACTGGGCATAGGGTCGTTAGAGGATCACAGCGGAAAAACATGAAAAGGTCCATTTTCCCACCAGTCACCCAGCGTATAACCATCAGGTAGTGGACAGTCATAGGATGTCCATAAAGTTTGGATTGGGAGTCTTGGGGCTGGTGCCTGCTGTGTGCAGTGCTATCATGAGGCCATGGTGATGATGCACCCAAGACAGAGACAGAAGAACATCCCTCAGTAATGCACATGGCACCAACTCTACTCTTGCACACTTTCCATCCTGGGCATATGGCATGAGCATGCACCTCTCTGTTCCCAGGAGTTTTCCATACTGTGGATGGGGCGCACTTCAGATGAGCTCTGCTGTGGCAGGACCTACCCAGAGAGAGGCCTGTAGACACATGTGGTTGCAGATGTGGTGACGGACCTCAGCACATCCTCCCTGTGTGTCGTCCTTCATCTCTAAGCTGGACTCTATTGCCAGTGCCAGAATAGAAAGACCATGAGGGGTCCTTCCTGGTGGCAAAAGGGATTAGGCCTCAGCACTATGAAGCAATCCAGCACTGCAGCACGAGTTCCATCCCTGGCCAGGGAGCTACCTATATTCCGCAGCAGACCTCTTCTGTCTCACCTGCTGCCATCTGCACCCCCAGCAGTGTATCTCAGTAGATGTGCCTGATCTGCTCCCCACTCTGTCTCTGGCGATCCTCTTACCCTGCAGCTCTGGCCTACATCCCTGCTCTTATAGGCACAAATAAATAAATAAATAGATAGATAGATAAATAATCTCAAAAAAAAGAAAGACCATGAAGTCTACATTTGTCCCAAAACAAGTAAGTATCAGTTCTAGTCAATGATATTATGTTCAGATGAATAAACATTCTGGACTAATGGAGCTCCCTTGCGCTAGCTGTGGGTGTCTTTGCTGGAGCGGCAGCAGCCAAGCTGAAGTCTTCTGTTAACAGGACTGAAAGCAAGGTCTCCAAGTAGGACATAGAACCAGATGATTACAAAGATCTGGGATCTCAGGAAATGGTGAGAATCTGGGGAGAATATTGTGACTAGAGTTGCTATTGCAGTTATTTGTCACGTGTATGATTTACACTTCAAAAAAAACTGGCCTGTCATTTCTTCATATTTGGAACACAATTCATATAACTCCATCAATTAATACAAATAGTAAAAAGGAATATTTGTTGCAGTGGTAGGTGATTTGCAGATATTTATGAGAGCAGGTAAAAAAGAACGGCAGGTGCTTTGTGGTGAGAGGTGGGGAGGCCCTCACTGCAGAGGGCACTTGGAGCAGCTGTCAGGTGGGAAGATGGAGAAGGAACAGGAAGGGTCTTCCTCGAGTGCTGACTCAGCTCCCTGTGGGGGTGAACCCAATATTTTGTCCCCCAACCCCTAGGCCACACAGGCCTTATCTAGATCCAGTTTTAAGGTAAATTGTCACCAAAGGGCCCTGAGTTGGTCTTGCCACTGCTTATCCCCTGACACCTAGGGGCAGGTGGGACTTGCTTGTGTTATGATCTGGGGGTGGGGGGACAGAGCCAGGCTAGCACCTGTGATGGTGGGAGATGTGGATGGGGAGCCTCTATTCAGATCCAGGGGTGCGAGCAGCCCGGGCCCAATGCCACCTCGGGGAGAGCAAGTTACCAGCCACGGGGACAGGGATCTCTGGGAGCCATTCAGGGGCGTTTGGGGCTGAGACAGGTGATCATGCAGCCTGAGCATGTCCCGCATGTTGACCTGAAGGTAACTCCAAGTCAGTCAGAACTAGAGTCAGCCAATGTGCAAACAGAACTTGACAAGACCTTTCACCCCAGGACTGATTTCTGTCTAATCATTAAACTGCCCACCTCTACTTTCTTCGTTCGAGCTTTTTTTCTTACCTCTTATACTCTAACCAAACCAATCGGAGCCACACTGGGGCAGACAGATGTGACCCTGGAGACAGGTTCTCCCTGAAAGTTCTGCCAGCTGCCTGAGGGGAACGCTATTGCTCTGCACCAGGGCAGCTCAGGTGCATGGGGGCTGTTCCCAGTGCTCTTTGGGGCTCATTAGAAACCCCAGGAAAAAGTTGTCCAGACAGATGTCAATGGAGTGGTCTTTCTATGACCTTTGTCCTGGAAATTTCCTGATTATTTTCTCAGGTACTGGGATGCCGCAAAGAAAATCTCCTCAATCTCCTGCTCCTGTTCCAATAGCTGGTAAGAAGATGAAGCTGTCATATCTGTCGTCGGTGTGGATGCCTCTGTGAGTGACGGTTGATTCCACCAACCCCCTGTGATTGTTTCCCACAAATGACACATCCTATTGGAGCTTGTCAATAGAGTATGAGGAGGAAATCTCCGGTTTTTCATTGTACAAATGTGCACCATTGACATTTGTACATTATCCGGGGGCCCTGAGGTGACCTTTCTAAAGCAGCAGCCTCACCTGCTGAGCGGACGCAGAGGGAGATGCTGCCAAGGCTCTGAAGAGGCATTTCCTGGGGAGTCGGGAACCGGTCCTCTTGACCTTCACCCAAGATCACAGCTGGGAGGGAGTCTTCACACTCTTGTACAACATCACCTGCACACACTGTGTTTTTATGAAATAAAATAAGGACTAAAATTTATCTCTCTGGTGATAAATGTGTTTCTGAGTTGCACAATGTGACTTAAAGTAGTGTGCCTTGTTGGGCTTACATCATTTTTTGAAGATGTAGCCAATACGCCAGCATTGAGCAAATTCAGCAAAGTGCAATTCAGTGTTTTCCGGGTGTATCCAAAAAATGTTCTAATATGAACACATCTGATTATAGTATTTCATTACTAAAAAACACCCCACACCTCGTCTTGTTCTTACCTCCAAGGACCCCACTTCCAAAAAAATACGTGCCTATTCCTCTGTCTATACATTTCTCTACTCAGGAGGCTGAAATGAATGGAATCATGCATTGTGTGGTCTTGAGAGTGACTCCTTCACTTTACAATGTGTTCTAGGTTCTTCCATGTTGTGGCATGTAGGAGGCCTTCATTTCAGTTTAGGGCTGATTAATAGACTATGGTGTGGACATGCCAGGTCTGTTTATCCTTTTGGCCAGGATGGACATTTGCTTGTCTGATAGGAATGATAATGTTGAGGGCAGGGAGTCACTCCTGGCCTTTCCCAGGACACACATCTCAGCATGAGGCTAAGGGGCTGAGTGTTCATCATTACAATGACCCCCTCCGGCCTTTCATCTCTCAGTCACTCTCTCCAGGGGAGCTCCTGGGCTCATTTATCTAGGGGTTTCAATTTTTACAGGTGTCTGCATTCCCCTTCCTGCAAGAGATCATAGGTGGCCACAGGTAAAACCTTTTTGATGTACGAAATCCTTTTGTACAACACTTAATATTTGAACAATTGTTTTTGTTTGCAACATAGTTCTGCTGAAGATGGGGTGACTCTGTCACACAATGTTGAGATTTCCTCCATGGAGTCCATGTGAAGGCCTGGGGTGCTGCACCTGCACAGCAGACAGACTCCGTGTGCCGGCTCAAGGAGTTGGAGCTAAAAGGAGAGTGATGCTAAGACAGGGCCACGTGACTCGGACAGGCCACTTCTGTTTCCACATGGAACATGTCACCCAGGCCCCTCCACCTTCTCATCCTCTATCCTCTCCTCCCCCCATCACACCTCAGTCTCAGTCACTCTAGAACCTCAGGGATCCCCCTCGAAGTCCTGTGTGCTGGGCACAGGCCACGCTGAGCACAAGGTGTGCTGGTCCCAATGAAGACGTTCTGAGGTTCTGAAATAGTCACCCGATTTGAGAGATTGCATAAAAGTCATGAAAAATCATGTCTCTATGGAATATTGAATATATATATAGATAAAGTATTTTTAATAATTGAAGTAAACAACAATAGATCATAGACACAGATTCCACACATTCTTCTGATATTTTCAATAAAGCTACTGGGATTACATGTGTGATTCTAAATTTATTTTTACAGTGTTTGCTTCGGTAGCACATATACTAAATTTATTTTTACTGGACAGCACTGACTGCAAAGTCATGTGTCAATCACTTCATTTTGGAACAGGAGGAGAACAGTCACCTCAGGTGGAGGGATGTCTTAGCATTGAGAGCAAATGAGAGGCCAGAGAATGGGTGAAGACCCCCAGGACTACGGGGTCAGAAGAATCTGTTGCAGGGTGGGGCTGTCAGGTTCTGACCTCAGACAAGCTGCTTATTCTCCAGGCCTCTGCTGCTCCCACTGTGGAACATTGTGGAAATGACGATTCTGTTCACAGCTTTGTGCTTCAACAGTTTAATAACAGGAAGTGCTGTGCATGAAGCTTGATATTATGTATATGAACATTTGCTCCTGCTCCTTCCAGTAGCATCCTTATCCTTGTCATATGGCAGACATGGGGAGGGGGAAATGAGTCAAGTCATGAAAACACTGACATAGGACACACTTTCTAGCAACACCAACTCACACACATAATGATTCAGTCCCCTTTCACAGGGCACAGGATGGCACCCTCTCACTTCCTGTCCTGCTCACTGGGACTTGAACTGAGAGACACAATCGAGGTTGTCCATCACAGCAGCATCAGGGGGCATCCAGGCAGAAGCAGAACAGGGAACTTCATGCTTCTCCAGACTCTGATGAGTGTCCTCTCATCCCATGTCACCTAGAGTTGTCCCTGCTTGGACCCCTCACTCTTGATGACTGTCCCTCATTCTTCACAATCTGCACACCTGTCCTGCTCAAGGCTGACCTAGATGACCCCTCGATCAGGCTGACCACTGTACAGAGGGCAGCATGGAACCCGGGTGGTCAGGTTAGCCATGAGGAGTCCCTGGCCTTTACTGGTGTCACTCAGGGGAAGGAACTCTAGGAAAAAGAGAGCAGGGTCCCCAGATTCTGACCCCTCCATGACCAGAGAGGCACAGGATGTGGAGTGGACTTTAAGGGTCGCCACAGCCACGGCAGAGCTAGGCTGAGTGGAGACCCAGGACCTGAGGATGGAGGAGAAACAATGAGTGTGTCCTGTGGACACAAGCAACAGTACAGCTGCACTGAACCCACTCCAAATGAGGAATGGGGTTCTTTTCTCACTGTGTCCTCACCAGGAGGCTAAGGAGGTCTCCTTCTCAATGTCAGAGACTTGTCACTAAGACATGGTGGGAGAGGGTGGAGCCTGGACGTCAACGCAGGGGTGGTGACTCAGGGGAGGGTCCTTCTGGGCTTTCAGGCCTGCCCACCTGATACCTAAAACCCACCCCAAATAAGGAGGGGATCAATATGAGGGAGACAGTGCTGTGAGTTGAATAGTCTCCGTAAATTTCCTGTTGAAATTCAGGTTTAGTATCACTGTAGGTGGAATTAGCTAGATGTGCCACGGGAGAAGGCTGGGTCCCGAGTCCCATTTGCCTGCTGCTTTGAAAAACAGGGATATATGAGCACAGACAATCACAAAGGAAGCGCCTGTGAAGATGGAGGCAGAATCTCAAGACAAGGACGCCAAAGATGCCAACTAAGCTCCACAAGCTGCAGACACGCCTGGACCAGACTCTCCTCACAGCAATAATCACCCCCACTGCTGACACCATGAGCTCAGATTTTAACCTCAGGGTGTGAGTCACTTTGTCTGTCTTGTGAACCTCCAGTATGTGGTTCTCTGTTGTTGAAGTCCAAGCAAATTCACACTGTGACCCCAAGATCTCTGCTCTCAGGGTGTCAGCAGTCGCTCCTTCCAGAACCTTAGTCTCTGCTGTTAATAGCCCCTGGACTAAACCTGCTGCCATGAGCTTGCCTCCCCTCAGTGTCTGACCCTCCTCCCAGAAGCCTGTCTCCAGTGCCCAAGCAGCAGCTGTCTTCTGTGGACCTAAACCCTCTGTACCCCTGCCTTCTCCTTCTGGATCACAGTGGGGAGTGATGCCATGGTCTCCAGGTCTTGTCTTATCCCAAAGAGCATTCTGCCATTTCCATGTGAATTCAGATTGACTGTGAAGATTTATCACTATTTTCTTGAGTCCTGTGCACAGGCTCTCCCTGACCAAATGATTTTGCACGTGACAGAGGTGTCAGAGGCAGTGACGTTTGCTGAGGGATTGCCAGGTGGTACAGGGTCCTGTGAGAATATGCAGTACAGTGGTTCTCACTGTTTATCTTGTGAAAAATGCCCTGGAAATGGGAGTTTCCAATGGAACAGAGAGGTTGATTTTCTGTTAAAGAGGTGAGCTCCCCTGTCCTCCACACTGCTCAGCAGTACTTTCCCAGACAAGAGCTGCCTGTGGTCTCCTACTGCCCCTGCCCCTGTCATAATCTAGACATGAGAATCGCATCTAATGGTCACTAGGTCCCCGTCTGACCTGGGATCGGCAGTGGCAGCTCCTTCCCTGGTTGCCCCCATCTAACAGGACAGGCAATACCCTTCATCCGCCTCCCTTGTACATTCAGCCCTCAGTTTACATTCTGTCTGTCTATACAAGGCTACTATGTCACTGCTATGTCACAACCATGTAGAGGGCTCTAGGGAGCGTTGTGCTGAGTGAAAATGCCAGTTCCAAAGGCTACACACACAGGGACTCTATTTTTTCTCACATATCAGGCCTGAAAAGACAAATTTCAGAAAAAAAAAAAAACAGTATTAGCACCTTGTTTAGGATAGGGGAGGTGTGATTATAACGGACAGCACTAGGTCTCTTGTCTTGAGGAAAGTGTTGGTAGCTCACTCCTGGGATGGATCGAAGAAGCCCCTCCTACTACCATCGGGGACCCTGTGGGTTGGGAAGGTTTGGCCATTATAGAAATTTACCCTTCTGTGGGGCTCCACACTAAGTTGGGGAATAACTGTGGGGTAGAACAGGTGCCTGACGAAAAATGGGGTGAACCCTAAGCTTCTTCCACATGCTTGTCATGTCAGAAAGGCAGGCTGGCCTCCAAGCTCTGCAGTCACAGTCACCTCCTGGGCTTGACCCCACACAGCTGTAGTCCCCACCTATGGTCTGTCCTGGCTGGCTCAACACTGCAGGGGCCTTCCAGGAGACTAGGCCTGGGCTGAGCAGGGCCTGAGTTGATATCTGACTCCAGTGACCTAGGAGGTGTGAGTCCCAGACCCCCTCATCTTCTTTCTCCTCCTGTCATCCTCCCCTTGTATCCCAGGTGCACTTTGTCCCATCCCGGGCCTGTCGTTAGAATGTGTGTGTGTGGCCTGTATTGTTGGCTGTTTGTCCATTATTGAGTGCATGGAAGTTACCTTGTTAAACAACCATCCACTTTGGAAGAGTGATCACAGCTTGGTCTCATTTTACAGGTGAGTCCTTCATTTTACATGTTGGGTCCTTCTTGACAGCTCACACACCACAGACAATGACACTGGGATTTCACTACTGTTTTATATGAGATATGAGGCTTTTGAGATCCTGACCTGGCTAAGAAACCCTGTTTAGTCTCTATGGTCTCTGCAATTGCCCAGGGTCATGGTCTTTGCACAGGGAAGAGCTCTGGGTCCTGAATGGTCAGGGGTCCCCTGGGGAGGTTGATCTTTCACTCAATGAGCAGGGGCGGCCCGTGACCAGACTGTGACCAGAGAAGTGATGAGGTGGGAAAGCTCAGC